GGTCTCGAAACTACCCTTCACAAGGGTCTACACCAACTGGAATGTTACACTACACATTGTAATGTAACGATCTTCAATATCTTGAGGTGTACCCTTTCGGCGAGCTTCGAAATCACTTGAAGCTTGAAACCAAGGCTCGGGTTCTTCATCACAAACTCATCCTTGAGTTCTTGATGGGTCTGCTGCACACACCTGCGACACGCCGAACGTTCGACAAGCGACAAAATAGAAACCGCGCACGACAAAATAGAAACCGCGCGGGACACACAAAATGACCGCGTTACACGCGACTAGCAATATTTCGCTATTGACTTGAGACACACACTCGACATCATGACCCATCATTCACACACCATTATAAGCATGAAATATATATTTATTTCATGCACTCATACCACTCCATGCACACACGCATGCACGCACACGCACACGGACAACAAGCCGAGTGCAAACTGTAGGGTTGCACCAACACCTTTTCTATGTTTCCAGCAGGACCTTGTTTCTCTACACGCCCAAATCAAGCGCACCACGTCACACATCGAGAGCCGATACGTCGACTGTGGGGACGACTTCGGCGGTGGCTTGAGCCGCTGGCTTTCGCCATTACTCGAGCACTACGGTCCATAAAAGAACTGTGCCCTGACTGTAGAGGGGGTTCTCTTTTATGGCCGACCATCGTCATTCACCTTCACGATCCGCGACGACTCAGTTGAAGGCTACGCGGCGCAGAGCATCATGAAGGCTGTGTAACTTCTGCACCGACTTTGCGGAATGCATCGTGGCGAACCCAAAAAGGAGGCTAGGTGACTTCGACTCTCTGTCTAGTGTCATGCCGGATGAGTGGCCAAATGGCAAGCCAGAGCAACATGCATGATGCGTTGAGCGGCTGCAGTTGCTGATGACGCTGTTCAAAGCAGAAGAGGCTGAAGGCATACTGCCAACTTGTTCATATCGTTTGCTCTACTGCCATGCTCATTGTCTCCCATGTCAAACAATATTTGTGGTATTTTTGTGGCCCGTATGGGGTACAACCCAAAGTTAGGGTTAGTACTTGTACCCACATTTCATTCAATGCACTCATCCTTGCTTGCTATCTTGACATGGTATCAGAGCAGTAGGTCCGTAGGACCTTATTTTTTTCGGGCCCACCATACTTAGCAACCGCCTGTGAATACCGTGTTACCCCACTACCCTGCGTCGCGCCGCCTACGCACGCCCTGCCCTGCCCCGCGTCGCGCTGCCCCGCGCACGCCCTGCCCTGCCCTGCGTCGCGCCGCCCCGCGCACGCCCTGCCCTGCCCCGCGTCGCATTGCCCCGCGCACGCCCGGCCCTGCCCTGCATCGCACAGCCCCGAGCACGCCCTCCCCTGCCCCGCGTCGCGCTGCCCCGCGTCGCGCTGCCCCGCGCAGGCCATTCCCTGCCCTGCGTCGCGCTGCCCCGCGCACGCCCTGCCCTGCCCCGCGTCGCGCTGCCCCGCGCACGCCCTGCCCTGCGAAACGCGCCCTAAGGCAGCCCGTCACGTCGTGCTCTGCTGCCCCGCACGTCGCGCCTTGCTGCAGCCCGCTTGTCGCGCCCTACGGCAGCTCGCACGTCGCGCTCTGCTGCCTCGCGCGTCGCGCCCTGCTGTAGCCCACGCGTCGTTCCCTAAGGCAGCCCGCGCGTCGCGCCCTACTGCCCCGCGTGCGCGCCCTTCTGCAGCCCACGCGTCGTGCCGTGCTACCCTGCACAGCGCGCGCCCTATTACCCGCGCCGCCCAGACCGAACCGCGCCGCCCAGCCCGAGCCGCCCTGCCCAACCTGATCCGCCCTTCTGCTCGTGCTACTGCTGCTGCTGGTGGAGGTGCTGCTAGGAGTGCTGGAGGTGCTGCAGCCTAGCTTCATGAGCTGCTCTGCTGCTCTTACTGCTGCTGCTGCTGCTCGTGCTACTTTCTTCCCTCCGTACTGCCCTAGAGGTCGCGCTCCTCCTAGCTTGCCCGCCATGACTTCACTTCGTAGTAGCGGTGGGAGTGGTGACGGCGGTGGTGGCAGCAGTGGGAGTGGTGGCGGCCGTAGTAGCAGTCAATGTGGACGCTGTTTGGTGCGGAGTTTCTGGCGGTGGCCAGATGCAGCTACAGCGGCGTCCGACCCTTACGTCCCGGCAGCTTCGTGAGTGGCTTTACCAGCATGGGCCGTCTCCGAGTCCTGGTCGCTGCCTGTACGTCATTCGCACAGGTCGTCGAGCTGGTCAGACCTGTGGGACACCTGGTCACGCATAGTCCTGCTGCTTCTCCTGTTTGGCTGACGCCTGGCACGTAGAGTTTGGTGACGAGGATGAGATCCCCCACTGGCTTGAGCCGCTAAAGTCGGGCGTTGATGTCTTTGATTTAGACTATGACGCCATCCTTACTGCCATGTCTGCTTTGGCGTGTGGTGCTGAGGGTGACTGTTACCTGTGTGTTTAGTACGACCCCGGTATAGAGGTTGCTGCTCTAGGTGCTAGTGAGGCTGCTGCCTTAGGTGCTAGTGAGTCTGCTCCCTCAGGTACTGCGCCTGTTGAGGCCTTGCACACCTTCACGCTTGACTCAGGTGCTTCCCGCTGCTTCTTTCGTGACAGTACTGCACTCACACCACTCCCTGCACCTGTTGCAGTCTCTCTGGCTTGTTGGTGCAACCCTACGGTTTGCACTCGGCTTGTTGTCCGTGTGCGTGTGCGTGCATGCGTGTGTGCATGAAATAAATATATATTTCATGCTTATAATAGTGTGTGAATGATGGGTCATGATGTCGAGTGTGTGTGTCAAGTCTATAGCGAATTATCGCTAGTCGCGTGTAACGCGGTCATTTTGTGTGTCCCGCGCGGTTTCTATTTTGTCGTGCGCGGTTTCTATTTTGTCGCTTGTCGAACGTTCGGCGTGTCGCAGGTGTGTGCAGCAGACCCATCAAGAACTCAAGGTTGAGTTTGTGATGAAGAACCCGAGCCTTGGTTGCAAGCTTCAAGTGATTTCGAAGCTGGCCAAAAGGGTACACCTCAAGATATTGAAGATAGTTACATTACAATTTGTAGTGTAACATTTCTATGGGTGTAGGCCCTTGTGGAGGGTAGTTTCGAGACCCTTCTTGGTTGGGGACAGTGTGGCACTGTTCCCCATCACTGTACCTCGGTTCTTGGGGTTTGTAGGAGCTGGGAGTCCTTCCCAACTCGTAACTCTTCCTAGTTGTTCGTAACTTGTGTTCTAAGCCTATGTTGCTGCCATAGTGCCGTTCGTTCCAATCGACGTTGTGTCGTCAATTCTTAATGAAATTGTGCGATCTAATATTGTAGGCGACGTTAAGGCGCTCCAGATCCAAGTTGAATGAGGTCAATTGGAGCTGTGACCAGATCGCTATGATCGTTTAAAGCCGCTGTGCAGAAATCTGACTGCGCACTCTATCTTTTGTTTTAGGCACATTGAAGCCTACTGTGACTACAACATGGCTGACCCTTCAGGGGGCCCAGTTCTTGCACGGTCCACCACTGTGCTTCCGTGCCCGGCGGTTCCGTCTGGCTCACTGTCAGGTCTCCACCTCCCCTCGTTCTCGATGAACTTGGTGAGCAACGCAGTCCTCCAGGATCATTGGGTTGACACCTTTACCCCTGGAGGACAGCGTGTGGCGATCTGTACATGCTCCAGGACTAGCCGTCACCTGGCCACGTTCACCCGTCGGCCAGGGTCGAGTCTTTACACACTGACGACTGTGTCTCCTCAGGTCGCTGCTGTCGGTCAGGTGTCTGCGTCAGGTCTGGTAGCCTCCCCTTGTGAGTGTCGCTCCCTGTCGCACCAGAAACTTCTCTGGCACCATCGTCTGGGTCACCCCTCCTTGCCACGTCTACGTGGCATGCACCGTCGCCTCCTTGTGTCTGGTCTTCCCAGGTCTCTCCCTCCCCTTCCCGCCTCGCCAGCGCCGCCCTGCCTTCCTTGCGCCCCCCAACAGAGGCTCCTCTGCAGACCCTCCACCTGGACGTGTGGGGCCCAGCCCGCGCTCGTAGACAGGGCGATGAGCATTATTTTCTGCTGGTTGTCGACGACTACTCGCGTTACACCACGGATTTCCCTTTGCGCACCAAGGGTGAGGTCCCTGCTGTCCTGATCCCTTGGATCCGAGCAGTTCGTCTCCAGCTCCGCCGGAGGTTCCGGACGGACCTTCCTGTTCTGCGTTTGCACTCTGACAGAGGTGGTGAGTTCACCTCCGACCTCTTGCGGGCCTTCTGTCAGGGGGAGGGCATCGAGCAGTCGTTCACGCTTCCGGGCTCACCGCAGCAAAATGGGGTTGCTGAGCGCCGCATTAGCTTGGTCATGGAGATCGCTCGTACCTCCCTGATCCATGCGACGTCTCTCTGTTTTCTGTGGCCGTTTGCGGTCCGGTACGTCGCGCATCAGCTCAACCTTTGGCCCCGTGTCTCCTTGCCATACACCTCGCCCACACTGCGTTGGACGGGAGAGGTTGGCGATGCATCGCGTTTCCGAGTCTGGGGTGCTCGTGCCCTTGTCCGCGATACGTCCGCGGACAAGCTCTCCTCCCGCACCATTCCCTGTGTAATCCTTGGCTTTGTCCCTGACACGCCTGGCTGGCAGATTTACCACCCCACCTTGTGCCGTGTCTTCCCGTCCCAAGACGTCACCTTTGACAAGTCGGTCCCTTTCTACCGTCTCTTCCCCTACCGCACTGCCCCTCTCCCTCCCCCGCCGCTTTTCCTCGCTCCAGGTGCTAAGTCTGCTGGCGTTCCTCCGGGTCTCCCTCTTTCTCCTGCTGGAGCTGGTGGTGCTAGTTATGGGGGTACTGAGTCTCTTGGCAGTCCTCCTAGTGCCGCGTCGCAGCGGCCACCTCTCTCGCGACAGCAGCTACGCGAGTGGTACGCTCAGCGCTACCGCCGTCGGGGTCGTGCTGCTGGAGGTATCGGGGCTGTAAACCCTGGCGCTGGAGGTGCCGCTTTTGGGGGTGCTGTGACTGGAGGTACTGGGGCTGAAGACCTTGGAGCTGGTGATGTTGACTCTGGAGTTGGAGACCCTGGTGGTCGAGGTGCCGTTTCTGAAGGTGCTGCTGCTGGAGGTACTGAGGCTGGAGACCCTGGAGCTGGAGGTGCCAGTTCTGGGGGTGCTACTGCTAAAGGCACTGGAGCTGGGGAGCCTAGAGCTGGAGGTGCCGGTTCTTGGGGTGCTGCGACTGGAGGTACTGAGGCGGGAGACCCTGGAGCTGGAGGTTTGGGAGCTGCTGAAGGCGCTCAAGCTGGAGGTTCTGGAGCTGCTGGAGGCGCTGGAGCTAGAGGTTCTGGAGCTGCTGGAGGTGCTGGAGCTGGAGGTTCTGGAGCTGCTGGAGGCGCTGGAGCTGGAGGTTCTGGAGCTGCTGGAGGCGCTGGAGCTGGCGGTTCTGGAGCTGCTGGAGGCGCTGGAGCTGGCGGTTCTGGAGCTGCTGGAGGCGCTGGAGCTGGCGGTTCTGGAGCTGCTGGAGGCGCTGGAGCTGGCAATTCTAGAGCTGCTGGAGGCGCTGGAGCTGGCGGTTCTTGGGCTCCTGGAAGCGCTGGAGCTAGCGGTTTTGGAGCTGCTGGAGGCGTTGGAGCTGGCGGTTCTAGAGCTGCTGGAGACGCTGGAGCTGCTAGAGGTGCTGGCGCTGCTGGAGGCGGTGGCGCTACTGGTGCTGGTGACACTGCACAGCCGCGACTGTTTTTCGCTCCGCCGTCACCGTCGTCTCTGCCACCGCCTGACTCCGTGCTTCGCCAGGTTCTTAGCCTCCCGTCTTCTACTGGCCTCCCGTTACAGCCAGGCTCACCACTGCCTGCTCCTTCTCCTTACATTGAGCAGACTGACTCGCTTACTGAGCGTCGTGAGCCTGCGTCTCGTCCTACCTCGCCTATTTGCACTCGTCGCACTGGTCGTCGTGTTCCTCGTGAGCGTCCGCCTCCTGTCCCTGGCACGCACGCTATGGCACTTCGTCCTTCCTCTGCTCCACAGCGTGTTCCCCTGCCGTCTCCTCCTGCGTCTTCTCTACGTTCTAGAACCTGAGCCTGACCTGATTCGTGCTGCTCACCCTACTGTCACGCGTCTGCTCGCCACTGTTGTCACTGACCCTTCGTTTGAGTCTGCTGCTGCGTCTGCCTTAGTCTCTGAGCTTGTTGACTTTGCTGCTGCCTGTTGTCTAGACTACGCTGCTAGTCTTGTTGCTGAGTCCGAGTCTGTCTGTCCTCCGTCCGTCGGGGGTGAATGTGCTCTTGGCACGGACGTCCTTGAGGACAGGCAGGAGGACTTTGAGTGTCTTGCGGCTGCTGTACCTCATCTCGTGGCCATGCTGCTTGTTTCTGAGGGAGACTCGGATGCACCAGACATCCCGACCCCGCGCTCTTACGCAGAGGCGATTACGTTTCCCTATTCCTCTCAGTGCCAGACAGCCATGGACGCAGAGATGTCATTCTAGAAGTCCACAGGCACTTACGTCGATGAGGTTCCCCCTCCTGGGGCGAACATCGTTGATGGCATGTGAATTTTTCAGGGTGAAGCGGCCGCCGGGTTCTCCGCCTGTCTTCAAGGCTCGTTACGTTGCACGAGGCTTCAGTCAGCGACAGAGAGTTGACTTCTTCCAGACCTTCTCCCCGACCCCGAAGATGACCACTCTTCGGGTACTGCTGCACGTTGCTGCTCAGCGTGACTACGAGCTTCACTCTCTGGACTTCAGCACAGCTTTCCTACAGGGTAGTCTGTACGAGGAGATCTGGCTGCTCCGCCCACCTGGCTTCACTGGGTCGTTCCCTCCTGGTATCCTGTGGAGCCTCCGCCGGCCAGTCTATGGTCTCCGCCAGGCGCCTCGTGAGTGGCATGACACACTGAGGACGACACTTGCGGCTCTTGGGTTTGCCCCTTCCACTGCTGACCCGTCGCTGTTTCTGCGCACTGACACTTTGTTGCCGCCGTTCTACATCCTTGTGTACGTCGACGACTTGGTCTTTGCTACTGCTGACACTGAGGCACTCACCCTTGTGAAGTCGGAGCTGCAGAAGAGACACACGTGCACAGACCTGGGTGAGCTACGCAGCTACCTTGGCTTGCAGATCACCCGGGACCGAGCACGGCGCACCATCACCCTGACTCAGTCACACATGGTGCAGCAGGTCCTTCAGCGCTTCGGCTTCACTTGGTCCTCGCCACAGTCCACTCCTTTGGCTACCGGTCACTCGCTCTCAGCTCTGCCTTCGGATGAGTCCGTAGAGCCGAGTGGCCCGTATCCAGAGCTTGTGGGCTGCCTCATGTACCCGATGACCTGCACTCGACCTGACCTTGCGTACCCCCTTAGCATCCTGGCTCGCTACGTTGCGCCTGGGAGACACCAGCGAGAGCACTGGGAGGCTGCTAAGAGGGTGTTGCGCTACCTGTGCAGTACATCGGGCATGGGGCTCGTGCTTGGAGGACGGGGTGATGTTGTCCTCACTGGACACTCGGACGCGTCTTGGGTTGACGACCTGGCTACGCAGCGGTCGTCACAGGGTTACACCTTCAGCCTTGGCTCTGGCTCTGTTTCTTGGCAGTCTACCCGCTCGTCTTTTGTTCTCAGCTCCAGTTGTGAGGCTGAGATCTATGCCACAGCCATGGCTGCACAGGAGTTACGCTGGCTCACCTACCTGCTGACCGACTTGGGAGAGTGGCCTCGTTCTCCTCCAGTTCTGTACGTAGACAACAAGGCTGCTATTACCTTGTGTCAGGAGCACAGACTGGAGCACAGAACGAAGCACATCGCTCTGCGTTACTTCCTTGCTTGAGAGTTGCAGCAGCGTGGTCAGCTTCGTGTTGCTTACGTGGCCACCCGGGCCAACACTGCTGATATATTCACCAAGGCACTTCCGTCTGGTGATCATCAGCGCTTCTGTACTGCTTTAGGCCTTGTGCCTGTTTCGTCTCACTTGCTCACTTCGTGACCTTGCTTGTACTGTGATTTATATATATACCTGCATGCTTGCTCTTGCTAGGTAGTGATCACTGTACTGTTGTTGTTGCATATATACCTCTGCATGTGAACTGGCCTTGTGGCCCTTTGCTTGTGCTCGGAGTGTGTGGTGACGTTGTGATCCACCCTAAGCTTGCTTTGCTTTTCTTGATTGGTCTTGTGACCCTTTGTTCTCCCCCACTTTGCCTATGGGGGTGTGTCGAACATTATATCTGTGGTAGTTCTGTGAAGGCTATAGTGGGGTAGCCCATATGGGGTACAACCCAAAGTTAGGGTTAGTACTTGTACCCACATTTCATTCAATGCACTCATTCCTGCTTGTTATCTTGACATCGAGTGTGCTCTACTGCCATGCCAGCTCGTCCACGACAGCCGTCTACTGTCAGAACTCGCTATAGAGTACCCACTGCAGGCTAGACAAATACAACATTCTGACACACCCCCATAGCCAAAGTGGGGTGTAATCAGCACAATAAGCAGGCAGAGCAATAGTTCACAATGATAAGCAAAGCTAGAGGCTATCACAGAGGGCAAGTGAGGAGGAGGAGAGACTGTGGGGGCGAGAAGATGGGAGGCGACGGCTGAAGCTGCAGACACACGGGCAACAGGAGCGCGCACACTGTGGCTACTAGTGGCAAGGGCCTTGGACTACAGGAGTAACTGGCTCCGCGCTAAGACGAGCGGCAGGAGCAACGGACCCACGGGCGACAGGCGCAGCAGGCTCTCTGGGCTACCAGCGGCAGAGCCCCGGACTATAGGCGCTGCGGATGACAAGACGGCTGCCTCCACTCAACCTCCCCCAGCTGTCCCACACCCCTTTCACACACCCCCTGCTGTACCCCTAGCACTGCTCACACGCCACCCCCCTAGTACCACTCCGACGGCTCCCACACATCCACCCCCCTCAGCGGCAGCTGCAGCAGTGGGAGACGGAGGAGGAGTAGGGGACGGTTCACACATACTCGCCACCCCATACCCTAAACGCAGGCGGCGCACGCACGGTGCAGGGCAGATATGCGGGCTTCAGCTGGGGCAGCGTGCGAGTGGAAGCGGGGCGGCGCACGGATCCCTGGGGCGCTTTGACGGGCGATGGGCAGGGCGGCACGCGTTCCCTTAGGGCGCCGCGACGGGCGACGGGAGGGGGGGCGACGCGCGGGCCCCAAGGGCGCCGCGACGCGCGACGGGAGGGGGCGGTGCGCGAGCCCCCAGGGCGCCGCTACGGGCTACGAAACCGCTGCGTGTGCCCGAGGCGCGCGGCGGGAAGAAAAAACGCCACGCGCGCAGGGCACGCAGCAAGCAGAAGACGTCGCGCGCCCGAGGCGCGTGACAGGTAAGGACAGCAGCGGAAGCTAATGGTGGGCCCATCCACGGGATCGACCAGGGAGGGTCGACCTGCTCTGATAGCATGTCAATATGAACTAGCAGGAATGTAGAACAGAAAAGAGGGGTTTGGACTACTAGTAGCAAGATACATATAGTAAACTCTAAATTGGGCTGTACTCGCTATAGATTACCCCACTGCAGGCTAGAAAAATACAACATTCTGTAAACCTGTCCTGAATTGTTTGCCTCCCCCTAAAACCCCTTGTGATCCTGCCAGGAATCACTAAGCAGCAGGCCCACAAGGAGCTTCGGTTGTTGTACTCCGTTCTTGCAGCTACACGGAAAGGGGAGAGGTTTTTCCACGATGGCCTCACCGCAATTTTGAAGACCCCTGACTGGCGGGAGAGCTACCCCATCCTCGTGCAACTGTGAGTAGCGGTGGCGGTGATTCCCCTTGTCAAATTATATATGAGCTGTAGTTGTGTAGGTTGTAGTGGGGTAGCCAATATGGGGTACAACCCCTTTAGGGTTTCACATTTGTACCCAACTCTGATATAGTCATTTCATTCCTACCTGTAGATTCTAACATGGTTTCAGAGCAGTAGGTCCGTAGGACCGTTTTTTTTTTTTTCGGGCCCACCTACCGTTGTGGTTACTGAGCTGCCCCACGTGTTGCCTGCGCTGCGCCGCCCGCGCGCGCCCTGCCTTGCCTGCGCTGCGCCGCCCGCGCGCGCCCTGCCTTGCCTGCGCTGCACCGCCCACGCGCGCCCTGCCTAGCCTTCGTGACATGCTGCGTTGCGCGCGCCGTCCTGCAGCCTTCGCGCTGCCTGCTGCTGCCCCGCGCACACCCTGTCCTGCCCCGCGTTGCACTGCCCCGCACACGCCCTGCCCTGCCCTGCGCCAGCGCCCTGCCCTGCGCCAGCGCCCTGCCCTGCGCCAGCGCCCTGCCCTGCGCCGGCGCCCTGCCCTGCGCCAGCGCCCTGCCCTACGCCCGCCGGCGCCCTGCCGTGCGCCAGTGCCCTGCCCTGCGTCAGCGCCCTGCCCTGCTCCAGCGCCCTGCCCTACGCCCGCACTGCTGCCCTACGCGTCGCACCCTACGGCAGCCCGCACGTCACTGCCCCGCGCTTCGCGCCCTACGGCAGGTCGCACGTCGCGCGCTGCTGCCCCGCGCGTCGCGCCCTACGGCAGCCCGCGCGTCGCGCGCTGCTGCCCCGCGCGTCGCGCCCTACGGCAGCCCGCGCGTCGCGCGCTGCTGGCCCGCGCGTCGCGCGCTACTGCCCCGCGCGTCGCGCTCTGCTGCAGCCCGCGCGTCGCGCCCTGCTGCCCTGCGCGTCGCGCCCTGCTGCAGCACGCGCGTCGCGCCCTGCTGCCCTGCACAGCGTGCGCCCTGCTACCCGTGCAGCCCAGGCCGAGACGAGCCGCCCTACCCGACCCGATCCGCCCTCCTGCTCGTGCTACTACTGCTGCTGGTGGAGGTGCTGCTAGGAGTGCTGGAGGTGCTGCAGCCTAAACACACCGGGCCGCTCTACTGCTCTTACTGCT